GCATATTTTTATTGCAACTGCACATTGTCCTGTATGAATCAAGAATCAAACTTAAACTCAAAATCTGGAATGGTCTTTCTGAAAATGTGAGACAGGCCTTTTCTCTAACAATGTTCAAATCCAGGCTAGAAACAGTTGTGTTTAGCTGCAGACAACTGAAGGATTTCTTCTTTCTTCTTTCAGAATAAGACATGTTTTTCTTATGGGTTTAAAAGGCGCCTTCTTTCTGCTACTTTTTTATCTTTCTTAGATTATGGTGACCTGTTTTATATGAATGCTACCTCTTCGTGTCTTCAAAATCTGGATTCTATTCATCATGCTTCCCTGAGATTCATCACAAACTGTAGAGCTCTGACACATCACTGTGAGCTGTACCCTCCCTGTCCACTAGGAGGCAGTGTCATTGGTACACCTTTATTTACAAGGCTCTTCTGGGACTCCTGACCTCTGTAAAATTACTCACACAGAGGAGCACAGAGTCTTATGCACTGAGGGCCAATGAGCAGCTGTTGCTCACTGTGCCTTTTGTCCGCACAGAGTTTGGAAAAAGAGCTTTTGTCCATGCAGCGCCTTCTGCTTGGAACATGCTCCAGCGAGACTGGAAGCTGACCGAGCGTGTAGTCTGTATAGCGTTTTACAAATTAAAAACTGTCATTTTTAATTTTTTAAATTTTATTTATTTTATGTAATTCAATCTGTCTGTTGTGTTTATGTGTAACTTTGCTGCCTCTTGGCCAGGACTGAACAAGACATTATAAATACATAAATAAAGGTTAAACAATTAAAAAAAAGATTTCTTCATTCTACACTTTTTTTTTTTTACTGCGTTTGTTTATGATTATGTATTGTCACTGGTGAGCACTTAGAGTTGCCTTGTGGATAAACTGTGCTATACAAATAAACTTGCCTTGCCTGTCCTAGAATAAAGTCACAATGGACCCCTAATACAAGGCATGTGGAACTGATTGTCAACAATGCAGCTCATATTCCTTCACTTTTGTGGTTAGTTTTATGTTTCACTGAGTTTTGAAGCCTTGTTTTGGAGTTTTGACACATGGATGGATTTGGATTGCCACAATATCGCCTCAAATAACTTTATTGAATCAGAAAGTTCACCACCAGAGGCCACTCCTTGGTGCTTCTTGAAGTCGTTGATTTGAAGTCATTTGGCATTTTGAATAAAGAAAGATAATAGTGATTAAGATGAAACATGGTAGTCGGCTATAGAATATTTTTTCTTTTTCCCGAACTCCCTTTCCTTTCCCCTCTTGTTTCTTTCAGTGTTCCATTATTAAGACCCTCACACTTTAACAGATGCAGAATCTGTGATGGAAAACAAAACATAGGAGACAAATTGGCTGCGCAGGCTGCATCTACCATCAGCGCTCTTCCTCGCCGTTGTGCATTTAAGATTCTCGGTATATATTGAGATTGCTTTGGGTACTCTGGATCTTGGAGTGTGTTGATACGTTGAGATGCTTTTCATTTCGCCTGCTGACTGTGGCGCACGCTGGAGTGCGGTCGGTGGGACAAAGATAAGGCTGGGGATTGCTGGAGCTGCTTAATAGGTTTCTATCAGGCCTCTGCATGGAAGAGATTGTGGGTCGGAGGAGAAGTGTCTCGTTGCTTGTTCTTAGGGGAAACCTTTTGTGTGTCATTTGGAGGGTTTCTTAAGTTAAAGTTTCTCTATTGTTCAGTCTGTTTGAATGGGGCTGTGCTGTGAATCCACCAGCTTGTAAATAATGTTGGGTTTTTTACATCTGTAGTCGCACTCACAAACTCATTCACCACACAGATGGTTTTAGTGGTAGGGGAAACACAGGGAGAACATGCAAACTCCACACAGAAAGGCCAAGCCCGGAGGGGGAATTGAACCAAGGACCATCTTGTGTGTGTAAATCCTCCTTACATTCAATGCTCCTAACAGTGATCACGTCCATTTAAAGAAATGGCCAGTCCCTGTGCTCCTGCTGTGACTCTGAGGCTGAGTTTACACGGAGACAATGTGGCAGTAAAACGCTAAAGTTGGATGTCGGTTGCTACCAACCGTTCATACGGAGACTGTGTTCCAGGGGGGTGAAAACGTAAGTGTTCAGATCCAGCCTGCAGAGTGGGACAACTCAGAAACGCTGCACAGCGGGGAGCTCTTTCACACCCGCGAGAGGGGAAAAGGTGTGAAATCCCCCTCTGCTCTGACCCCCGCCTCCGCACTGCTCCCCGCACGTACATTTGGACATGCGCAGTAGCAGAGAACAAACATCAACAACAATGGCGCTGCCCACACAAACTAGCTACGTGGGCTTCCAGCGCGGGACAGAGGATAATTCTACTCCTTCGTTCGTCCAAACGAGACCACGCGAAGCTCTAGGTTCAGTTTCCATTTTCACAGCTGCTGTTAAAATGCAGATAGATCTTGGTGCGTTCTGAGGGTCTGGTACAGGAAGTGAGTATACTGCCGAGAGGGGGGCTGGGCACGGGGCTCGGGGTCGTGTGTCGTGTTGTAAAGTTTATCTGCCCACTACTGGCCGGGCGCTAGAACTACATCGTTTTTCAACCTCATGTGAACGCTGAGAAATTTGCATTAGGAGCCAGGTCGTTTCTGTTAATAGCCTGGAAACGTCTGCGCAGCGGCTCAGTATAAACAGGGCCTAAGGAGCACAGGGACTGGCCTCCTGCTGGGACTCTGAGGAGCACAGGGACTGGCCTCCTGCTGGGACTCTGAGGAGCACAGGGACTGGCCTCCTGCTGGGACTCTGAGGAGCACAGGGACTGGCCTCTTCCTGGTCCCCAAAGTCAGGACTAAACATGGGGAGGCAGCCTTTCAGAATTATGCAGCTAAAATCTGGAACCGTCTTCTTGAAATTTTGAGATGGCTTCTTCTCTGACAATGTTTAAATCCAGATTAAAAACTGTTCTGTTTATGGCTTTTATCTTTACTCTTTTTAATGTACAGTGATTATTTTAATGCCTTGTATTGTTCGATCTTGTTTTAAGCACTCTGAGTAGCCTTGAGTATGAAAGGTGCTATATAGACAAAACAGCCTTTCCTACTTTCTATTTTAATAATTGATTTATTACTATAGCCCTAGTCACAGTACAGGAGTCTTATTCATTCTTGAGGAGTCTTATCTAATCTCTCTCACTTCTCAAAACTCCCTTCCTTTCTTTTTTAACTTCAGTGTTTCCTCCGTTAGTGCACTGAAGGTGATAGAGCAGTGATAATTTGCTTTAGCGGAGGTGAAAAATGCCACCCCTCTGCCTGCCGCCCTCACACCAGCTCTCAGAACCTGATTAACTCGTGTTTATGTGCTAGCGAGAGCCACTGTAATGACTTGAAGCAGTTAGCTCACGACACCGCTGTGCAAAGAAGACAATAAGCCCCATCTCGGAGAGCGCACTGAAAGAACCCAGCTCGGGTGTCGTTTGTTATCTGAGAAGCAATACTCTTCTGCTCGTACTTTCTACACTTTTATGATGAACAAATAATGCGTGCGGGAACTTCTAATAGCTCAGCAAGACGGTCTTAAGTTTTGCGCATGGTTAGAAGTTTGGTTCATGTCAAAGGAACTTAAGGTTATCGCGAGCCCGTTACAGAGATCCTTTTGTAGCCTTAGATCTGCAGCAGACTCCGGTAAAGGTTTTGTTAAAGCTGATGTACATTGGTGTTGTGGAGTCTGGCCTTCGCAAAATGGACAAACGCAACACATAATATTCAAGTGATCAGGATTTTAAGGTTAAGGCGATTTCGGTCATGTCTCTGTGGTTTGGAGGCTAACACCGGTGGATTGGCGTCTTTTGCCTTAACGCGTATTCTCTAATGAATGCGTGATCCGTCTGCCTTCTGTCTGAAAAAACTGAAACAACGTAATATGAAATAAAGTGCTTAAAGAAGCTATACCCGATTTTGTTTTTTAATGAGTTCATAATAATGCTTTTTACTACATACAAGTTGTATTATAATCCGTAATTTAATTGAAAACTTGAGCTCATTGATTCAGCTGTGTATGAATTCAGGCCGTAAAAAGTGCTGAGTAGAGACTTAGCGTGACGCCCGTTCTCCTCCAATCACAGATTCAGATTCAGATTAAATTATTTGCCATTTGCAGTAAAACCACATAGGAAAAACTGTGCAAGACTACCCCAGTGTGCACCGGGCCTAGAACGAGGCAGCGTCCTCTAGCCTCTACAGCGCTGCTAAACACAGTAGCATGTTAGCATAAGTGGCTATAACTCCTCTGGCTGTAACTGCAGACACAGCAAAACAGCCCAAACGACACAACAGTGAGGAAGAGAAGAGGGAACTAAAGCAAAAAAGATCAAAAAAGAAATGAAGCCCGGGTGAACATAGCTAGCTTACATCGTATCCTCTGGAGTAACTTGTCTATGGGAGAGACCTGCGGGACCGCCTCGGACTAACCTACATTTGGACGCAAAACCTTTCATCAGTGATTGTTGTACAGCTCACTAGAAGTTGCGCTCATGCTAATGTTTGCATATAGATCGCAAATAAAACTAGATTTCTCCGTGGGAGGAGAGCGTAGGGGAAATGAGAAGCCTGTGAGCGAGTTGAGGGCGGTGCTAAACATTCAAACTTTTCAGAAACGGGTAAAGCTCCTTTAAGATCCCTTCTTCGTGTCTGTCTTTTTTGACATATTCTAACAGGGATGTGGACGATCGCGCTCCTCAACGCTTCTGTCTCTTAAAGTTAGTGAAATCGGCCTCTCAAGATTCTGCACAATTGGTTTTTTGGCTCGAGCATTCTATTATGGACTCAATTATGCTAAATTAAGTGTTTATTGCATCTTAATAAATTGTTGTATGTGTTTGTTTTTCCATGAAAACGAGGCTCCACGTCTCAACAGGCTTTTTACAAATCCACTGTTTTAACATTCGGCTAAGTGAATATTTGACGATGCGTGACACAATCCTGCTCTTCTTGTTGATGTAAACATTAATGATAGAATATAAAAATGGGATCAAAGCAAAGCCTGTCGGATAGAATGGGCTACTGCCGTGTTTTTCAACCTGTGGGCCGTGGTGCGTCAGTGTGACTTGAGATGTTAATGATACAATATCCCCTCATTGGTCAAAATTATGTGAAAAGAAAAACATGTGAGGAGATTAGAAAGACCTTTATATGTGCAACACTCATATATAATGAGAATGGTTTTGCATTGTTAACCCTTTAATGCTTTCCTCTAACATTTGGTGGATCACTTTTTCAGTAACAAAATCTATTTGAAGCTTGGGGCTGAAATCTACCTCATCGGAGAAATGTCTATCACTTGATTCTAGACACTTTTACCATCAAGCTACATCTCAAACGATTGGTCAAGGCCTATATTATAGTTATTAGCGCTCCTACGTTTTAGAAAAGAAAAAAAAGAAACACAAATACATTGCTTTCTTTAAGGAGTGAACATTGACCCTTTAATGGTTTGCTCAACTGTGTGGCGGATCCATTGGGCTTCATTGGGGCGTCTCTATCACTTGGTTTTTAGGCGCTTTTACCATCAAGCTGCTTCTCAACCGTTTGGTAAAGGCCTAGGGGTTAAAAAAAAATAAAAAATCGTAATAAACCAATTTTTTGTGTTCTTTGTTGTCCTTCAAAAAATCAAAAGAAATTCAAGGAGTTTTGCGTTTGTATCTGTTTAAGCCGGTGGTTTTCCATGTGGTTGTCCATCCATCCATCCATTTTCTTCTCCTTAATCCATTTCTGGGTTGAAAGGCTGGCCAGAGCTGCACCCAGTCCACAGAGCACCAGCTTGATTGTCTTCTGTGTAAAAGTTGTGCCACGGTTAAAAAAGGTTGAGGAACACTGCTCTATTGGGAATTCTTGGTTGATTTTAAACATTTACCACTAACTCTAAGATTCTGCTTTACTTTTATCGCCGCACCATTGAGAGTTTACTTGTTGGTTCTGTGTCTGTGTGGTTTGGAAACATCACAGATAAAGAAAAGAGAGCTTTAAACAAGGTGCTCCGCTCTGCAAAGAGGACCGTGGGCTGTGAGCTTTCTGTTCTGGAGGTTCTTTATAAATCCAGACTTTTAAACAAAGCTCTTAGGATTGTCAATGACTCTTCTGGCCACCCTGGGAAAGCCATGTTCCAGCTTCTTCCCTCTGGCAGAAGATATCGCTCTCTGAGATGCAGGACATCTCGTTACGCTAACAGTTTTTATCCACAAGCTGTTATCAGTGTGAACAGAGCACTTTAATGATTTGCACTTGTTTTGAACTGTTTTAGTCAATCGATTTCACAGTGACATTTGTTTACTGTTTTATTTGTTTTATTTTTGTCTTTTAATGTTGTTTTACAATACAATACAATACAATTTATTCTTGTATAGCCCTAGGTCACAACAGAAGTCATCTCAGAGGACTTAACAAAACCATTGAAATCACCAACACAGGTCAGAGAATCAACAGTTAACACATGGAGAATATAAAGCACACACAGAAGAAAATGTCCATACATGTTGTAGAATGCTAAAGTGTCCTGATCATCACCAATCCTTTCTGTTGGACACTAACTGTCCAACAAGACCCTCCTGCATCGACAAGGAAAAACTGTCTGTATTTGTCTGTGCACACTGGAGACTTTTGCTAATGTATTCCAATGTGGTTTTACTGCAAATGGCAAATAATCTGAATCTGAATCTGAACATGTCCTCTTTTTTTCTAATGCTTTTCTGTTTAACGACTAATTAAATGAGATGTTCAACCAAGACTCCATCAAATGATTACTGATGTATTGAATGGATACTCCCCAATGAGCCCAGTATTCACCATCCCACTGTGCGTTTCTAACTCCTGAAGAAAATGACAATGGTCTTGGATTGTGTTGACAGACAGAAAACATGTTTTATTGTCGATGGTAGAGACGAGAATGAAAAAAGAAGTAGAATATGGAGGAATGGAGACCGTCCAATCAGCATTCGCCACGGCTTCAAGATATAACCGAGATAACCAAAACGTGTTGTGAAAAATAACTGCCTTTGTGCATTTTTTAGAATCATGAGTTTAACTTTAACCACAGTTGCTTCAAAGTGTCATGAAATCTCCAATCCCAGACCATAATAAGCACAAAATCTCTCAGCCTGAAAATGCCATATTGTGCAGTTTACCTGTTTACCACATTCTCCTCCATGCGCTGCCCTTGCATGTTCTAATATGCCTGACTCCGCTGCACCTCTTTGTTTTATAAATTGAATAAAATTGGGGATTTATAGCCTGCGCTCGGCTGGTAATGTGCAAATTATATAGAAGCGCTATTCTCTCCCGGCGAAAACAAAAGCATCAAGTCGCTGCAGGTGTCAAAACGCTCCGCAAGACGACTCCACTAGTGAATAATTAACAGGAACCCACGGCCGTTATAATTGGGTGTCACATTGCAGACGTTTTTTTTCTTTTCTCTCCTCCAGTATTGTATATGTGTGTATAATTATTGTGTCTGTTTTTCTTCCACAGCGCTGTCAGTGTTGCGGTCCAGTGAAGAGGTGGCACCCGCTCCGCAGAACAAGTTCATAGGAGACATTGAGGAGCTGGCGGCGAGCTACGAGCGGAAACTTATCGAGGTTTGGCCACGATTTCATTTCTGGCATTACACAGTGTGACATTAACACAGCCAATTCTGGACTAAAATAATGATAATAATGCATTGGTTTTATAAAGCGCTTTTCAGGACACTCAATCGCTTCACATTTCCTTATTCGTTCACTCCATGGACGGTTGTGATAAACTACTACTGTAGCCACAGCTGCCCGGGGTCACACTGACAGAAGCGAGGCAACAGTCTGTCACTAACCCCTCCCCCCACCACCAACCATTCACACACACACCAGACTCATTCCAATGTCGGTGAAGTGTCTTGCCTAAGGACACAACTACAGCTTGGTACTTGACAGCCACAGTCGCCCCAGTGGTCTCCCATCACAGTACTAACCAAGCTAAGCCCTGCTCAGCTTGATTCTGCGTAGATCTGCTTAGATCTGGCCTTCACCTGCAGTTATGGCCACAAGCCGGTACTTTTGCTAGTTCTTTGATCCCTGCGGCTTATACAGCGTTGAAGCTAATGTGTGTAGTTATGTTGTGGAAGACTTTTACCTGCACTTTGAACATTTTTGTTCTCTCTCTCGCTCTCTCTCTTGCTCTCCCTGCTCTCTTGCTCGCTCTCTCTCTCAATCTCTTTCTCTCTCTCCCTCTTGAAGAAGATGTGCCAAGTCTGGGATCGCGTCTTTCATTCAGACAGAAGACAAGTTTTATTGTCGATGGTAGAGACAACACGATCAAAGCACACGATCACAGATACAACAGAATGCAAGTGTATTATACAGAGCGGAGGCATGGAGACCTCCAATCAGCAGCTTCCACGGTGTGCTTGTAGCTTGGCCTTCAGATAGACAAAACAAGGGGAAAGTACTGGCTTCTGCACATTGATAGAATGATGAGTTTAACTTTAACAAAAGTTGCTTCAAAGTGTTATGAAATCTCATATTCCCCCCTCTGGTCACACATTCACGTGTGACCATCAGGATCGATAAACAGCAACATAACATCATAACTCAATACTTCAAAAACTCATAAACTCGGTACTTCAAAAAACTCAGAACTCGGAATACTTCAAAAACTCAGAAAACTAATAAAACATGTTCAGATCTTTCATAAAACTTGTCAACAATCTTCAGTAAAATACCAAACTTCATCAGTCGATGGTTCTCAGATATTGCTTTGAAAACAGTCTCTCCCACTTCTCCGTGTTGGTTTCTTCAGGCTGCATTTGTGTCGAGCCATGAAAACTTCTGTGACGTGTCTTTCAATCACACGTTTCAGCTTCAGTGTCCAGATTCAGAAATCCAATTCAGTCCAAATGATGTCCAAATTCAGATATCCAATTGTTCCAAATGATGTCCATGCAAAAGAGGACGCTGGTGTTGTCCATGTCTCAGCAGCTCACAGCCTGACTGGAATCAGGGGCTGTGCAGATTGTCCAAGTGTGCTGGTCCAGATGCATGGTTTCTCTTGAGGTTTCTCAGTTTTGGCTTAAAAAAAACAAACTTTTTGTGTAAAAAAAAAAGTAGTCTTCTGTTCTCTAGATGTTACAGACAAGGCCCGCATCCTTCCACCACCTGAAGAAGATGACATGTCTGGGATCGCGTCTTACATTCAGACAGAAGACATGTTTTATTGTCGATGGTAGAGACAGCACGATCACAGATACAACAGAATGCAAGTGTATTATACAGAGCAGAGGCATGGAGACCTCCAATCAGCAGCTTCCACGGTGTGCTTGTAGCTTGGCCTTCAGATAGACACAACAAGGGGAAAGTACTGGCTTCTGCACATTGATAGAATGATGAGTTTAACTTTAACAAAAGTTGCTTCAAAGTGTTATGAAATCTCATACTCTCTTGCTCTCTCTCTCTCTCTCTCACTGCTCTTTCTCGATCTTTCTGGCTCCCTTTTTCTTTCCCTCTCCCTCCCTCTCTCTCCTCTCTATTTCTCCCTCCCTCTCTCTTCTGCTCTCTCTCTCCCTCTCCCTCCCTCCCTTTCGCTCCCTCTCTCTCCCTCCCTTTCGCTCCCTCTCTCTCCCTCCCTCTCTCTCCCCCTCTCCTTCCCTCTCTCTCCCTCCCTCCCTCCCCCTCTCTTTCTCTCTCTCCCTCTCTCCCCTCTAACTCCCTCTCTCTCTAACTACCTCTCTCCATCTCCCTCTCTCTCCCCCTCCCTCCCTCCCTCCCTCCTTCCCTCTCTCCCTCCCTCCCTCCCTCCCTCTCCCTCTCTCTCTCCCCCTCTCCCTCCGGTCCCCTGTCTCCTCTACATACAGCAGCTGCTTATAGAGAGCTGGGTAGAATTGACCTATTTATGAACAGACTTTTTAACCCCATTTGCAGCAAACTTACTGCAGTGAAACCTCTTTGTCCGACTCCGTGACTCCAAACAGTCCTCGGCCAAAAGAGAAGCCAGTGCCAGGTATAGTCTCTCTTCTCCCTCTGACCTCACGCTGAAGGCAACATCTGCAACTCCAAACTCTACCAGGTTACAGATCCATAAGAAGAATGAGCGCTTTCTTTTCACAAATTGCATAAATTAGAATCCAAAGGTAAATAATGGTTTCCGAAATACTTTTTAGACACGAGATCCTTTCTTTGTCTCACAATAGGGGAAATTCCAGTGTTGCGTCACCAGTTACAGACCAGTAGGAATAATATACTAAAGTAAATTAACATCTCTGATTTGATCATAATAAAGAAGCAAGCATAAAATCTATAACTTTAGCTTAAAAAAAATGAATGTGAGATAGTTTTTCCCAGATTGCCAAACTCTAGCCTGAATATTAATTGCGCTAAAGTCAAATTTACTTCATAACCAGTTTATAATAGTAGCTGTGTGAGTTTAGACCAGACATTTCCAAACTCAGGCCCTCTGTTCCCTTTCATGTGGTCACACAAAGTCGCCATTGAGGTAGTTTGACAGTGTCATCCAACCAACTTCAGCTCCAACCATACAGTCCTGCTATACCCCGTTGTTTATCTCAGAGCATCAATAAGAACTTATCATAACCCATTTTTAATCCAGAATCCAGTCAGTCCAGCTCCAATCCAGTTTTTTTTTAAATCCAGGTTGGCGGCCCCAGGTCAAGTCTGATGACCGAAAGTTTGGACACCCCTGGTTAGACATTATGCTTTCACACTGGGGTATCGAACCTTTCAGGTAGCTCCTCCAAACGACTTAGATTTTAACACACGATCTTGAATGAATACATTATAAAAATTAATATTGAGTTAAACAGTATTATGGTATCTTTTCCATGTATTCTCCATTATTACTTAAATATTATGTCTGCAAAAAGTGGTCGCTCTTTGCCTTTTCTGTTAAGATTGTAAAAGGTTGTAGACCCCTGCTCTGGAAGTATACTTGGAAGCAGCCTTCTAACCTCTCATCCGTCCCTCGAGCTTGTTTGACAAAGTGCACATTGTCTTTCATCATGTTTGCCGTTTTGCCGCCTCTCGAGGACTATTTTCAGCCCAATCGAAAATCTTCACAAAGCTGAGATTGTGCTCGCCGCAGCTGCATTGATTCAAAATGTATGATGTCCAATAGCCAGACTTTCTTCTTTTGACAAATATTGATCTCGGTGCATACACAAGCTGGGTCATAATTGGAGATTGCGGACGCTGTTGCCAAATAATGGAGCCGCAGGGTGTATTCAGCGTGACGAATGCAACATCAGAGTCTGAGGACGGCGACAGAAGTTGTTTGGTAATTATTGTTTACCAGACAGCAGGGAAAAGAAATGTCATCGCTGTGTGTTACGGAGAGATGCTTGAGCGATATGAAGTAGCTGAACGTGTTGTCAAGTTATTTAATATACTCATTTCTTTGACAAAATAGTCGTAAAACTTCAGAGAAAAGACTTTAAAGCAGCTCTGTTTGTTACAAGTCTCTCCAGGGCCTCGCTCCAAAGTACATCTGTGACATGTTAGTGCCAAATGAACCAACTCTGAGGAGCACAGGGACTTGCCTCCTGCTGGGACTTTGAGGAGCACAGGGACTGGCCTCCTGCTGAGGCTCTGAGGAGCACAGGGACTGCCCTCCTGCTGGGACTTTGAGGAGCACAGGGACTGGCCTCCTGCTGAGGCTCTGAGGAGCACAGGGACTTGCCTCCTGCTGGGACTTTGAGGAGCACAGGGACTGGCCTCCTGCTGAGGCTCTGAGGAGCACAGAGACTGGCCTCCTGCTGAGACTGAGGAGCACAGGGACTGGCCTCCTGCTGGGACTCTGAGGAGCACAGGGACTGGCCTCCTGCTGGGACTCTGAGGAGCACAGAGACTGGCCTCCTGCTGGGACTCTGAGGAGCACAGGGACTGGCCTCCTGCTGGGACTCTGAGGAGCACAGGGACTGGCCTCCTGCTGGGACTCTGAGGAGCACAGAGACTGGCCTCCTGCTGGGACTCTGAGGAGCACAGGGACTGGCCTCCTGCTGGGACTCTGAGGAGCACAGGGACTGGCCTCCTGCTGGGACTCTGAGGAGCACAGGGACTGGCCTCCTGCTGGGACTCTGAGGAGCACAGGGACTGGCCTCCTGCTGAGGCTCTGAGGATCACAGAGACTGGCCTCCTGCTGGGACTTTGAGGAGCACAGGGACCAGTCTGCTGGTGCCCAGACTCAGGACTATAGATTGATTGATTGATTGAGATTAGGGTTGGGCGATATTTTTTTTGTACCGGTATACCGGTATAAGTAAATTAAATGATAAGAAAATGCCTTATACCGGTGAAAACGATCATTTAACACTGAAAACATCGAGCGGAAGACACGTTTGTGTGCGGCGCACTTTGATGATGCATCTGCGCGGCACGTGTAGCAGAGCGGCGTGCAGGGACAACAACAACAGAGCAGAGAGCAAACATGGCTGAGGGCGGCGGTGAAGACCATGGTGAAGACATGCAGATTGTAGAAGACATTGTGCCAAAACGCGGAGCTACCTCAAACATATGGGAGTAGTTTGGGAACTAGATAAAAAGAAGCAATTGTGTGTAACTATCGACAGTGGATCTAATGTTGTGAAAGCAGCTGC